AACTGCAGCTTTTGAGAAACATGAAAAATTGGTGTACTCAAACAAAATAAACCAGTTACATCTGTTGCAGCAGCACTGAAAATAGCACCTTCAGCAAGGATAAAATATTTGCTTTCTACTTCAGACAGTCAGTCTCCAACAATGGACAGTAGGTTTTTAAGGGGCAACTATAATCTTCCACAGAAATGAATGCTAAATGCTGCTTTCCCCTCCTCCCCTCAAAATGCAGCCTATTCCTTGGGCTTTTCTACCTAGAAAATATTATAGTAAACCCCAGCACTGACAAACTCCCTAGAAGCATCTCCATAGAAGCCAGTTGGTAACTAGTGGAGCTGTAAAAACAAAAAACAAACAAAAAACTTCTCACCCCTAATTAAGGACAATGACCCTGTTTCATGAGCTACTTCCACCTTAATCAGCCCAATGTGAAATTTTCTTTTTCCAATCACTATTCCCAAATAATCAGGCTGTCTTTGCAAACCAGCCACAAGAGCAGGTGCACCAGAGCAGAGGCATTTTTGCAGGAGGAAAAAAATGACACCGATTTGAGGAGCGAAGGTTTGTCAGAGAACTTTTGGCAGAGGGGTGGAAAACATAACACTTCTGCCTTTTTCTGTAGAAAGTTACAGCCAGCAGGAATACGGCTACTTAAATCACCTGAGTGATTTAACTTGCCTTGCACAATCTCTGTCAATGGGATGTGGTTTTCCTGAGAATTCCTAACTTTCACAACAAATGGAAAGACCCTCCTTGAAGCTCCTGCCCTTTCTCCAGCTGATGGCCACCTACCTGCACGTACCTTACAAGAACAAACAAAAAAAATCCCAGAGCGGTTAAGGTAGATTTAAGAGGTGCTTATGGCTTACTCGGCTCCAAGAAAATTGGTGTTAATTCTTAATGAATAAACATGTGTTTCACAAGAAAATAATGCTGGAAGAGAAAAATGTAAGTACTCTGAGGAGAAAGCAAAAGCCTCACTAGGCTGTGAAGGTGACAATTCGACAGGCTTGAGTTATCTGCAGATACATTGTCCAGCTCCAGAAAAAGATAAATTTCTTTTTTGAGGTAGACAGCAGAGGATCATCTCAGAATTTGACATGGTGAAGTCTGTACCTCTTTTCCTCTCCGACAAGGAGGAAAAAGATTTGTGAACCCACTGAGAACCTGAATTTGAATATCACCGTACGATAATTTCACCCTTTCCCATTCTGTCTTTTAAACAGAAACATCACCTACCCCAGCCATGGCCACTTGCTTCTTTAGAAAATGCCTCTCCTGCCCAAAGAGCCACAATTCGATGGCACATATCCAAATAAATTTTAAATAAAAATCTTACTGAAATAAACAAAAGAGTTACAGCATCTGTGTTTCATCTACCAGATGGCAATTTCTTGGGAATTCAAGAGAAGAGCGTTGGTTCCCCCCCAAAAAAGAAAAGCAAGTCTGAACCGCTGCAGTTGCTTTTCCAGCAACACGTCATTGGATTAGCTTGAACTTCAGAGAGAAAAAAGGATACAGATAAGCCTGGCTAGTGCCTTGTGGTTTTAGAACATGACCCGAGGAACTCATTTTCAGCATGAACAAGCCGGCAACAAATACTCGGCTCCATCCAAGGTGGCCAGGCAGATAGCACACCTGTGCTCGCATGCTGATCTGGAGCAAACGCCCAGATGGGGTTTGCAGAGGACCAGATGAGTCACGGTGCCTGACCACCACCTCCCTCCCTGCAGCCATGAAACCAAAAAGCAAAAAATCCATCAGCGGATGGAGGAGTTTTACTTTGCAGTCCACCAAAACTTCAGCCAACAGAAAAAAGGAGATTATATTAATGAAAATAGCAACCCACAGTTACAGACTGTAAGAAGAGGTGTAAAGAAACACATCCGCATATCAGTGCTGTTAGGGTTTAAATTAACAGAGGCAGGGGCAAACTCCCAGGCAACTCCAATATACAGCAAGCACATATCTGGCGCACGCCCTGGGCAGCTGCACGTGCTGGGCAGCTGCACACACAGCATCTAATACAGTGACAATCCTCCTGTATTCTTTAACACTGACTGGCATAAGGCAGGCGTCAATTCTTGCAGATCTTCCTTGTGTTTGTATCACAGCTAAGATTTTAGTGAAAAAATACGACTACTCTTCTAGCTCTCGAAGCAAAAATGCCAGAGATGGAAAGTTTGCATCAAGCTAATGAAAACACAGATGTTAAAGTGGTGGTACATAACACAACTAGTCTATACAGATACTGGGTCTGATTGTGATGTTGCCATAGACCAGCTTTGTCTGCATCACAGACTGACACACTGCAAGTTATGAAGCCACATGGATTCACAGGTCTCATGTTTCAAGCGCAGATCAGCTACAGTGTTGCTTAACTCAAACCATGACCTTCTTTCTTGCTGTCTACTTGAGTATCTTGGGTTTCATTTCAAAGAGCTATAAACTCTAAAAGTAAGAGAAAAACCTAAGAATTTGAGCTTGAGAGACCCTGGAGACTTAAAAGAAACCCCCCACTCCAGAGACGCCAACTTTTTTTCTATTTAAAAAACACAATCTGAAAACCATTACTTTAAGCCACTGATTTGTTTTGTTGGTGGCATAGAGGAAGGGTGACAAATTGTCACAGGCTGCAGGGACAGAAAGGAAACCCTGTAATGTATCAAAGGCTGTTTACGCAAAGCATTTAAGGCCACACATTCACGGCTATATAAACCAGCACGAATAGCTGGCCTGCCCCCGGCTGTGTATTCCCACACACCTGGCTATTCAAAATTCCCAGTTACAAGGATCAGCGCTTTGGTCCACTTTACCTTCTCCTGCCCCACATCCACAGTAGTGCCACCCCAGACAAGAGGATCTCTTCACACAGCAGTACTGCCAGCTCCAAGCGATGGTGGGACTGCAATTAAAAGCTGGTCTCAACAGAGATTAGATCCAGAATGCATGAAAGAAAACGCCATGGCAGGTTTCTTTGGGGAAAAACAGACAAGGTAGCAGGCAAAGACAACCCAGAATTTACTAGCCAAGGACTTTTCAGATAACGCTACAGAAGCCGCAGTAAAACAAGGCATGATCTGAACAGTCAAGTTGTCTATTTTTTCTGTTTTATATCATCTTAAATCTTTCACTACAGGGCAAGCCTGCCAAAGACTTTTGGATGGTATGTGCTTAGGAAGACAAAGCGTATTTCGACTCAGATTTTGCTACAAGTCCTTGCATTTCTTACTAGAAGTGTCAAACACATCACCCTAAAGAGATATATAGCCATTTTCCTCATTAAGAGGTAGCCATGCCATCTGCAACACACCTTTTTTAAAACCATTCCGTTTAAAAAAAAAGTAATAATCTCTCAAAGGCATACAATACTGGCTACAATACTCAACGACCCTGGGTAACCGTTTCCTGCTGAATTATCCCCAAGAGCATCATCCCACCCAAAGTCACACCTACACCAAAATACTTTTTCACTAACACCCCTGCAACGTCCCAGCAGGAATGCACAGCATCTGGAAAACTAACAAATAAGCGGTTTTTATTGTTGTTCACAAGCATCCTCAGCCCTAATGCACTGAACTGTCTTAAAATACTGTGCACCAGCAAGGCCACTGGAAACTTGGGAAGAATAAAACAAGTATTTCTATACCCCAGCTCAGTCCATCTCAAGAAGTGTCACTGCAGCAAATGGAACAGCATGCAGCAACGTGTTTTTATAATATACCTGATTGCTACAGAACTTATTTCGCTCAAGAAATGCAAAAACAGTTGTTTCCACATTCTAGATCTAAACACACCTGGTGGCTCCCTCAAATATCACCTGAAAAATGTAATGCTTATGGGATACTGCTTCAAAGCCTTTCTGAGACTTCAAATGATTTGCAAGTCTTGCAGTTTGTCCTATTAAACTGCCCGAGGACAACGGTACAATTTCTCCTCTCAAAACACTACCACAAGCTTACCCAGGAACCTGACTTCTTGGCCCAAAAGGCGTAACAGGAACCCATACAGAGAAGTTACACAAAGACTAATAAGGCATAGGGAGCTCCAGAGAGCCCCCAGTAGGCAGACATTAAGGAGGTAAGCAAGGCACGCCATTCTTTTTCCTCCAGAGCATGAAATTTCAACTTCTTTAATTCAGGAAGCATAATGAATATCACAAAAGTTTCTGCAGAAAATGGGTCCTTTGGAGAACAAGCCGTTTCCACGAATAAAGAAAGAATAGGGGTTACATGAGCTAAAGATACACTGCTGAATACGCAGATTATACTCTTTCTAACATACCACTGAATACCAGAAAATTTAAGAGGATGGTTATAAGCCACAGGACCCTCCATGCCCTATTCTGGCAGCAGCTATATTAGCTAAAGAAGCTGCTGCCTGAAACTGGTGGCCACCACGACCCCCTCCAGAGTCCCAGGGAAGAGGGCAGTGATGACGCTAGAACACATTTTCCTCGTACCCCTGGGTTGGCCAAGAAATACTTTGTTGCTCCAGATGGACAAGCACATACAGTTCAAGCATCTTTAGCTAGTTTTGGTTGTTAGTTTTGGGTTTTTTTTTTTAAGATACCTCCCTATGTTAAAATACATTTTTACTGAGTGCATAGGAATAGTGAGTTGCATTTTTTTTTTTTTTTTAATATATTTTATGAAAGTGGCACAACTAAGGTTGGGTTGACAGGAAGCTCCAGGCAGCAGACTTCTTCCACAGCTCGCTCCCATGCCTGCTTCGCTCCTCCTTCCAAATCACACAGCACTGCCCAAGGCCTTCCAACAGAAAAGTCAGCACAACTTTTCACACTGCAAAAAGGCAACCTGTTTTCCTACAGCTTTAGGAAAAATCCTGGGTGAACACTTTGGAACAAGAATAATTCCAAGCAGGGCAGATTTAAGGGTAAATATCAGCCAGATGATTAGTTCAGCAGAGTTAAGAGTCCCTGAGAGCAGGGCCACAACATGCTATGAGTTGCACACCCCAGCAGGCAGCAATACCATCCTCACCTGTAGCGCAAGTGTATTTGCTCCCAGCTTGCGGGTCAGGCGGTCATGAAGAACGCAAGGAATTATTTCTTAGCGATTGCAGGGCTGTGTTCTAAAAACAAGAAAGAAACATAATAAAGATTATAACTCTGCTGCCAGCAACATGCTGCATACGATTTCCCTCCTGGCAGTCGTGCTCTGCGTATTAGTGCTCACATATATGGACCTCAGTGCTCGCATCTCAGACTGCCCGCCAAATAAAGCCAGGAGGGAAAAAATGGTCATGCAGCTGACTAAAAAGAAAACAAAAAAACAAACAAGCAAACCAACCAATCACAAACCAGCCAGGCCTTTACTTTAACTCAAGTCCAAGCTGGCACTCAGGTTTCTAGAGGAGAAAGCCTCAAAAAATCCTGCCCTGTTTGACCTCCCCACCCCTAGTCAGTAGACCCCACAAAACAGACTCAGATTTACCGCCTTTCCCAAGCAGCTCATTAAACTAAAGGCAAATACGGTACACATAAATCATGTCACGATAAAGATCAGGCCATTCTATACTCTCAGTAGTTTATTAACCCAAATTCACCCTAAAGGTTTTTGCAAAGACAAGCTGCTCATCAAATACAGTCTGGCCGTTCAGTGAAGTTAAAGCTGTTTAACGAACCGCTATTAAAAAAAACTGCTTTGACATTAGCTATAACATACAGCAATAATTCACACAGCCCCGGCAACGCTGCAAGCAATCCCCTACAGCAACAGCAAAAATAAACCAAAACCGGGGAGCAGGGGACCCAACACCTCGCAGTGCGCGAGAGCTCCCCGAAAGACTCCTCGCAGGCCCCCCTTGGCCCAGGCACGCCGAGGGGGATCCTTCCTTCTCCTGCGGCTTTCCCAGCAGGAAAAGCTGAAGGCTGTAATGAGGGCACAGACCCTAAGGTTTGTTTCATAGGAAAGAAAGCATAGTATTACTGCAGGGGCCCGGGGGATGGAGAGGCCGTAACACGGCACCCCGAGCCCCGTGTGCTTGTTGACCTGCAAAGCCCGAGTTCCCCAGGCAGCAGCTC